TGTTACAAAAATGTTATATAAGCATATTAAAAAGAGAAGGAGGAACAAAAATATTATTATAAGACATAAAGGATAATGACTATTTACATTAAGTAATAACTATTTTAAGAATATGTTTGATTTAATATAGGAGAAATATTGTCAAATTGAAAATACATATATTTAGCTTTGTTGTATGTTTCTTTGTATTATTTATTATTTTGCTAAATTTATGAGATTTTTAGAAATAGTTTTATAAAATTTTATTATTTAGTAACTTAAATTTATTAATAAATCAAAATCAATATTAAATAAATTAATTAAAATTAGTGAAAACGTTCTATCACTAGTGGAACACTATATTTAGTATTATTATGTTTGTGCGATGCAAACTTTGAGACTGATTTGAGAAATTATTCAAAATACTCTGCACAGTTGTGACAACATATTACACTCAGCTTCAGGACTATTGTTCTTTAGCTTTCTGCTCCTTTTTTAATAGCAAGCAGAGTAGTAATATGGAGATGTGTTCAAAAAAATAAATCATCACATATTTAAGTGTATTGAGAAAAAAATTAAGCAAAATGATATAAAAATTGATATAAGAAAAAAGCTTCCTGTGTGTTGAGAAAAGTAAAATGCTATACAGATTGAGGTACTGATTTCTGTTCTAAATCTCTCATAAACATACTACTAAGGTTACTTGGTACCATTTTTGATATTTGGTATTTTTTCTTTTCATAACTATTAGGATACATAAAGAGTTTATTAAGCATTTTGAGATACTTATACAAAAAATAAAATTAATATTATCTATACTATTTATACATGCAATTAGCTGTGAATTCACCAGAATTCTAGATAAGCAGTATATGGCATACTTTTTAAAAACTACAAGATTTCATCATCTCATCTCTTATGTCAACTTTAAGGACAACATTTTATCAACCAGAAAAGTAAAATCATAACATCCAACATCAACTCTCCTTTAAGGATAACTCCTTACCTAATTACTGCATTTATGTCTTAGCTTCCAAGAGGCTTGAATTAAAATATGAATTTTTCTTAATACAAATACTTACGAATTTTTTACACTTCCAGAAATTAATGCTATAATTTCAACACATTGGTTAAAGTATAAACTGCCTTTGAATGACTAATTAAAACTGTTCGGAAGGTATAAAAGTATTTGATATTGGTTTTTGCCAAGCTGGATTAAAAGATAAATTTTTCTTTAATTACAAATACTCATGAGTTTTTTTACAGTTTCATTTTACATCCAGAAATTTGTGACATAATTTCTATACATTGGTCAAAGTAAACTTCCTTTGATGACTAATTAAAATGTATGAAATACTTGAATTTTTGTTTTTACTAAGCTGGCTTGCAAACAGATTGAAAGATGAATTATTCTTTAATTACAAATACTCATGAATTTTGTTTACAGTTCCATTTTACATCCAGAAATTTGTGGCATAATTTCTGTACATTCATATCAAAGTATACTAATTAAAACAGTTCAGAAGGTATGAAAGTAATTGAATATTTGTTTTCATTAAGCTGGCTTAAAATGGTTAATTACAAATACTCACAAATTTTTTTACACTTCCAGATGCAATTTCAATACATTGGTCAAAGTAAACTGCCTTTTAGTGACTAATTAAAAACAATTCAGAAGGTATGAAAGCACTTGAATATTTGGTTTCGCTAAGCTGGCTTACAAACAGAATTAATGATGAATTTTTCTTTAATTACAAATATTCACAAATTTTTTTACAGTTCCATTTTATATCCAGAACTTTGAGATGTAATTTCAAAGCAAACTGTCTTTGAGCGACTAATTAAAAATGTTCAGAAGGTATAAAAGTAATTGAATATTTGTTTTCACAAAGCTGGCTTACAAACGAATTGAAAGATGAATTTTTCTTTAATTATATCCAGAACTTTGAAACATGATTTCAATACATTGGTCAAAGTAAACTGCCTTTGTGCAACTATTTAAACTGTTCAGAAGGTATGAAAGTAATTGAATATTTGTTTCACTAAACTGGCTTAAAAATAATTGAAATATACATTTTTCTTTAATTATATTACTCGTGAATTTTTTTTAAACTTCCAGATGTAATTTTAACACATTGGTCAAAGTAAACTGCTTTAAGTGACTAATCACGTAATGCATATCTGAAATAAGATAGTGGCATTTTGTGCCACTTTCGCACTATTAAATAAATAAATAAATAATAATATATAAATGCTAATAGTTATAAAGATAAAAATAAAAGCAGGGTAACACTGTTTTTAGAATCCAACAATAGACTAATCGACCTAACGACTCGCTACGGTGATAATAATGACGATTATACCGGATAAATCAATTTTTTTTATTTATTTATTTGTTTGATTGCCAAAAAAACAACATAAAACTATTAGCGTTTCATTGTTATGGTTATGTAGCAATAACGACGACGAACGATAACCGGATTTGACATTTTATCTTATTTCTTTATTTACTTTTTATTGTTGTCTTTTTATTATCTTTTTTATATTAATTTTTATTTTTATTTTTATTTTTTATATTATTTTTATTTTATTTTTATTTTTTTTTATTTCATTTTATTTTTTTTTATTTTATTATTTTATTATTTTATTATTTTTTTTCCTGTCGTTGTTCTGGTAACCCGCACAGAAATAAGCAAGGGAGGAAGCTACTTCCTCAGCCGTGATGATGGGATGGACGTTTGAATAAATTTTTATAATAAAAATGTTATTAATTCATTTTTTTAATCGTTGAAATTCAATTAACATCGAACTATAACATTTCGTTTTTTTCATCTGTATAAGTCACTGTAAAAACTTTTAGCATATTATCGGCAAGTATAAAACTTTCTTTTTTTGTAATAAGTGAATATATTAATTTGATACAGGTAAATTGTGGTACAGTTTTTTTTTCCCAAATTTATCAAATTTTCTGCGAACGACATAATTATCCAGGATTTAATATACATATTTGAGCTTCAGCATATATCGGGATGGGTAAATATAGATAATTGTATTTCTTAATATTTGAGCTTTGATATTTATTATGATGGATGGGTAAATATAATAATATTTATGCAACCGAATTTTTCATCTTAATATTTTAAAACTAACTCAATTTTGTTATACATAATATACAATGTGTAGGTTAAAAGTTCGAAGTTTTTAATAGATCTTTAATAGGTAAATATTTGGAAAATTTTTTTTTTTAATCTTATTCTAAATGATAATTAATATTGATTCAATTAAATAAGGAATTATTATTTTCCTTATTTCCTTATTATTAAGATTTTATATTTTGAGTCAAAAAAGTTAGAACATATTTTTTTCTTCATTTTTTATATTACAAGAGTATTTATTTTATTTTATTTCTAACCGTATCTAATAATTATTTGAAGAGTTAGAAGATGTAAATGGAGATTATTATTTATTTATTTCCTGGTAAGCACACATTACTGTTACCACTTGGTCAATTTGGAACATTCCAAAATAACTGTTGGTAGAACAATATCAAAACCAGTCTAACTATACATACAAGCATTTTTATTAAGTTATAGTATATTATAGTTTAAAGTTAAAAAAAATATATATATGCAATTATCGAAAGGAAAATAAATAAATAAATGAATAAATTCTGTATTATACTTTGGATATATTCTGAAAATAGATCCATAATTCTTATATTCTGCATCACTTTATTAAGTACATTAACCGGATCATGTGTTCTGCCCCTGGAAGAACTGGATTATTCATCTTTGTTGCTGATAATCTTTTCGTTAAGAGTTTAGTAAAGATTTTTCTGTTTGTTTCCAAAAACGTGATTGGTCTTGTTTTATTAGTGTTCTTTGCCAATTCGTCAGTTTTGGGATGGGAAAAAGATGCCCAGATAACATTCCTTTGGCATATGACACAATGTAAGAATTTTGTTAAATATTTTGACAAAGATGAGTGATGAATCCTTTAGATATTTCATGAAAAATATGGAATTCCAGATGGACCTGGTATGCTAATATTATTAGGATTGGCTAGATTTTCAATTTTTTTTTTATCTTTAAAAAATCAAAAAAAATGAATTTTCTTAAAATTATGTAATTTTGAAATTTTAAATTGTTTTTACAATATAATTAACATTCTACATTCTTTAGAATAATTTTTACAAGCATTTAATATATGTTTTATCAATAATTTTACATTGAAAGACAGATAAGAGCATATTAATTTATATTTTTTTATTTTTTTATTTATGTAGTTTTGTAGAAAGAACAGAAAATTTTTAATTCATAAATAATCTTAATTTTTTTAATTCACTAAAAATGATTCTATCGAATGCAATGTAATATACCATTTTTATTTTTACGGAAAGAATGGAAATTTTTTTATTTTTGCGAAAATTATTAACCGATCGTTGAGTAACATTTCCATTAATAGTCGTGATGCTATATTAATTACCTACTTAAATTAATTTTAATTTAGAAAATTTCGATTTCACTTGCACAAATTTTAGCAATCCTTTACTTGTTATGGTTAATTAAATCTTATTTCTCTTTCTCCTTGAGACACAGCTCTTGAAATTGTTTTTTATAGATTTACATTGGAGAGGGATGTCATACTGGCGTAATTATAGCTTCTAAAAAAAGAAAAAGCTGTTAAATGGTATTCTGTTTTTTGAATCCAATTTAAAGAGCATTTATATTATTCGAACAATCCTTAATTTTGATATTCTCGGAATTAAAATGATGGCAAAACTAATTGGACTAATTTTCTTCATAATTTTAATAATAATTAATGCCTCACTTTTCGAAGTCGTCTACAAAGAGCGGTCGCCATTATATCGAAAAAAATTCAAAAGATTTACGCTTCGTTCCGCAATTCCGAGTTCTGATAAAACATGGGAGAATTGAGCTGAAACTATTCATTTGGCATCTGAAGCAATTTTTAAGCCAACTACGCTCACTGACCTCCAAGACATCATAAACCTGGCAAGAATGAATAGGAAAACGATTCGGTGTGCCGCTCAAGGACATACTGGAAGTTCGTTGTCAGTAACAAAGAAATATTTGGTGATAGTTAATGATTTAAATAAAGTTCAAGTTCTGCAGGACAAACAATATAATTGGGTCATTACTGCGGAAGCTGGTAGGTTCTTTCTCAATAAGTAATAACCATTGTTACCATAGGTTTCCTCCACTTTCATAATTTCTTATTATTTTATTTTATTTTATTCTTATTTGTATTTATTTTA